CCAATGTCATAAAACAATATGTGTACTACTGTTTCATGAGAAACTATTTGTTCTGTAAGCCTTCACCTGAAGTACAATTAAAAAAAAATTATTGATATAGTTCACCAATACTAATTATCACAATACTGTAGCTAAAACACCAGAAAATTTGACAAAATCAGCAACTACAAAAACACTAAAGCAACAAAAACAACAGCACACGCTTGTGGCGCGTGCAGATGAAATCACGTGATTCAAAGCGTCACTGTAATTGGTTAATAACGACAGTGCTGACCAGAGCGCATTAAAAGGTTCAGAAGTAAATTAGCATAGGGTTTTAGCCTTGTAGGTATACTGATACACGTAAGCTGGGCTTATGAAAAATGTTTTTGTTGTTATAGCTAACTACGGGGATATTTTTATTGAAAAAAATTTTTTTGTGATGAAACATTGCACAAAAATTTTATAAACAGTCATTTTTGTGTCACCCCCTCTGTGTCACCCACTGTGCTCTGCACCCTCCGCATCCCTTTACTGATGCCACTGCCAGACCCTCTCTCTCTTTTCTGCATGACCCTTATTCATAGCTCTTATCAATATCTGATTTGTTCGTTTTGTTTCTTGTCTTTCTCCTCCCATTTAGAATATAAGCCACAAGAGGGCAGGGATTTTGTTTGATTCACTGTATAGTCCAGTGGCAAGAACAGTGCCTGGCACTATGGAAGCACTTGATTATCTTTTGAATGAATGAACGAATGGAGCTCTTGCAGATGCCAGTGAATGTAGGGTGCTACGACTTGGAACTCTAGAAAGATAATCTCAAACCGAGGAAACACTGGATTAGCGGATGAATTGCAGTGTACACAATGTACAAAAGGCACACGCTGGATCTCTGGAGGTGAGTACTCTCTCCTAAGGACTAAGGAATCAAGCTACTGAGAAGATTTCCTTCAAAGACGAAGACAAACTATAGGTCAGGGGCCAGTACCTCCAACCTCTCTCTGAATGAGAAACACCCAAGGGCACTTCTGTTTCTATAACTGCCTAGAGTGCTACCTTCAAGCTCTGAGGCTTCCACCCTGTATTGATGGTGCCCGAGAATTGCTACCTGGGACGGTCTGAGGTGGATGGCTGGGGCTGGTGGTGATGACATACAGGACTTTGGAGGACCGGGCAGCACTGACGCTGAGGTTGGCCTGCTCAGTGATCACCTCGGCCGGTGTCTGGTTGATGGTGGGCCTCTCCTGCGGCTGTTCTTCCTTGATGGCTGGAAGATCAAGAAGAATTAAATAGGGTAAAGCTGACGGAGACAACAGAGAGCTGCGAAGGAGGAGGGCACTGGTTATGAAGAGGGGCCTCTTCCTTGGATTCAATTCTGGGTACAAAATTCTGAGTGGAATAGCTCCACTCACCCCATTGACCCCAAAAGCAGAACTTGTCAGGCTCTGGCTCTGAAGGAGCTGTCAACTTCAAATTATTCAATTGGTCTCTTTGTAGATATCTGAACATACTTTATAGGTGTCTTGCACCTTTGTAGCTAAAGCCCCTCTACCTGGAAGGCCTTCTTCCCTCCTAGCTATTGACCCATATCCTGCTGTTCTTCAAGCGCATCCCACTCCTGGGAACACCACACATGAACTCTATTCAAGGCCTTGCTATTGCTACCCAAGACAACACACACTAGGTCTTAGACACCTTCTTCTGGGCTTCTTGTGTGGTGGCAAAGAGACATGCCCACACATGCGTTCACACTAGAGGGGCCGAGAGTGTGCTCCACCTCAGGAGGGTTTGAAGAAAGACTGGAAATTGATCTTTCAGGATTGGCTGGAATGTTTAGAGGCAGCAGGATGATCCAAATGACCTCTTTAGATCCTTCCAACTCTACCAATCCCAGCTGTTTCTTTAAGTAACTTTTTTACCCCCTCCTCCCCGCAAGAAAGTTGTTATTAGAACCACTAAAATAGCAAAATTTACAGGTTCCAACTCTTCTCTATCATGAAACATAAACAAGTTATGAGATGGGAGGTGGGAAAGTCCACAGGTCGAATTAGTAGATCCTGACTCACTGTCCTTCCAAAGAGAACTGCCCGAGGCTCCTAAATCATGATGGATGGAAGAGAATCCTGAGTCACACAGACCCTGAAGGGTTGGTCCCCAAGGAGGCAAGGTGATCTTACCTTGGTATAGGACAGCAAATCCCTGGGCCTGATTGATACGATCAGAGAAGAAATACAAAATGACGAAATCCAGAGAGACATTAAAGGACAAAGGGGGGTGGTTCTTTCCATTGAAGCGGACCAGGACCCGGTGGGTATAGCCGTCCAGCAGCTCCACCATGTCTGCAGAATCCCTGATGTCAAATAAGGTGAAGTTGAAGTGGATGTGGGAGGCGCCTGGGACGCGAATGGTCCAGTAGCAGACCCTCCCTGTGGCGTAAGTGTCAGGAAAGTCTGGGGAGTAGACCACTGCAGTCATAGCGGAGTAATTTCCACCACAGGCGCCCACGAGAGCTGGGGAGATAGGACACCGGGTTCAGTCTGGGTCTCAGTCACAGGGCACACTTTCCAACTTGGTTACAAACAAGACTCTCCCTAACTAATGTGATCCAGTTTGGGATATAGTTTTTTATCTACAAAACCAGACCGTCTTATGTTTCAGGATCTGATCACAAAATGAATCGCTTAAACCCTGAACAAATGGTTGTGGAGGCTTTTCTCTTTTGCCCAGGAGACCTTGGAATGAGAGCACAGCACAACGGTGCGGCCCAGGTCAGGGTGAGCTGGAGCCAGAGAGTCTGGATTCTGGCGGGCTGGGCCATGTGATCCCAGGGCGGCACCTCCCTTCCAGGCCTCTGGCTTCTCTCCATTTTGAGGATGGAGAGACCACCTGCTCCTGTATCGTATGAATGCGTGAGGACAGATGAGATAGAATACATGAAAATACTGGGACCCATCTGGAAGGGAGGCATTTGATAAAGTAAGGTCGTTAAAAGAGAAGGGCTTTACAACTGTGCAGACATCTCCGATATGTTAGAGGAGCAACACTCTCATGAGAGGTCCAGGCTCATTTTTCAAATCAAACACTGTGGCACAAGAAAGAACCTTCTGCATGGGGGAGACACACTGGATTCCTTTCACTCTGTGTTGACCACATCTGATTTCTCGACTCCTGTTTATTGATCGGTAGGTTCTAGGGAGGGGACAACCACTCCACCATAGCTTATGCAGTGAAGTGTAAGCAAGATCCCAGAAATGAAAGTCCTTGAGAGGGTGTGTAGAAGGGCTTTACCATTTACTAACTGCATAAATTTGAGCTACTTAACCTCTGTATACCTCAGTTTCCTCATCTATAAAATGAAAGTGATAACAGTGTCTCCTTCATGGGGTTATAAGAAGTAAATGAGTTAGTACATGTACAGTGTTTAGTATAGGATCTGGCACATAGTACAAGCTCAGTAAACATGAGCTACTCTATTATTATTCAAAAAGAATAAAGTATACAGATTAAACTTATATGTCAATAGCAAAGGCAGCCCTTAAATTTAGAACTTTTGATCTCCAGATACGTGCCATGGTGATAGTACATTCAATTCATCAATTTTGAGAGCAAACACATGATTCTATGATGAATCATTAAAATACAGTGACAATTCAACAGGAAACATGAATCTTATTTTTTGAAGGGGAGATTAGCCTGACACAATCTGGCAGGTGGAAGGTCGGGAATAGACCTCTGGTGGCAGGGGGTCAGAGTCCTCCTGCCTTCTGTGATGGCCTTTTGGAGTCTATGAAATATAATTACTAACACAGTCACGGCAGTCAGAGCCACCCATCCTTAGGCCTCAGTCTTTTTCACCATTAATCTCTTCCTTTCCCACCAGGATGAGGGCAGGGATCTTGGTATGTGGGGCCTTGGGCAAATTACTGAACTTTTAAGAGTCTCAGTTTTTATCATCTGGAAAATACAGATAATAGTACTTGCTTCACAGTATTGTGAGAATGAAGGGAGGTAATGCATGTAAAGTGAAAAACACAGTGCCCTATAGATGATAAGTGCTCAATAATGCTACAAAATACGGCCCAATCCATATGACTAACTCCTCCCATCAGTGCCTCGAAGCTGAGGGGGTCCCAAGAGTCCAGCCTGGGTGGTCTCAGTAACCCTCTGTTGACTCCAGCCCACCTGATCTTCTCTTGGGTTCTGTTAATTCAATAAATTACAATTCCAGGGGTGCAGAGGTTTGAAGTCTCCATCAGCGCTGCATTTACATGGTGTGCACAGACCACTTCAGCAACCTCTTTAAGTTCATGGGAGCTTGCTGAAAATCAGCCATGGCACCTGTGACAAACTGCTTCCTGATGTGGCAATGACGACTGAGCAGACAGCTTCCACCAGCTACCTGTGTCAACTCTCTCTAGAGCTGAGAGGCCTGGAGCACTCCTGTGATTACCAGAGAGCAGCAGGACCTCGCGGACATTCTGACTGAGACCCAGATTTGAGCTGCACTGGTAGCGCGGCCTGAAGTTCTTGGAGGCAGAAACTGTAACCTGGTCCCTTATCATCTAACTTCTCTTCCTATCTTTTTAGAGAGATATCTTAGCCCTCACAAATTATAGGACAGTCTGTAGTCACCATCTCCAAAATGTTCAGCCTTATCCAGTGGGTCATAAGGATTTGCATGAGGTTATGCTTGAGCTATTTAAACTATTTTACTCTCTATAGATGAAACAGAGCCCTGGTGGAACAGTGGTTAAGTGCTCAGCTGCTAACCGAAAGGTCAGCGGTTCGAACCCATCAGCAGGTCTGTGGAGAAAAGGATGTGGCAGTCACTTCGTAAAGATTAAGGAAACCCTATGGGGCAGTTCTACTCTGTCCTATAGGGTTGCTATGAGTCAGAATTGACTGGACGACAATGAGTATGGTATAGATGAAACTTTAGAGATTATTTCTACAGTGCTGCATTTGCACCTTTCTTTGCAGAGCAGTGAGGTATGAGCTATAGGGTTGGCTACTGTCAGGGGCTCTGGAGACTAGAGTAGACCACCTTTCAGAATGCCAACCTTCTTAGTGCCTGAGTGAATGGAAGCTACAGAGGGCAGCTTCTGGAGAGCTACATTTGTGCCAATTTAATACTAACTAGAATAACTGGGAATACTTTGTTTACTTAATTTTTAAGCAGTAAACTAGATCCATTATTATGATCTATTTTGTTATTGTTAATAAAAGGAGTTCTAGTCACTGATGTGGAGCCCTGGTGGCGCAGTGGCCAAGAGCTACAGTGAGCTACGGCTGCTAACTGAAAGGTCGGCAGTTCAAATCCACCAGGTGCTCCCTGGAAACTCTATGGGGCACTTCTACTCTGTACTATAGGGTCGCTATGAGTCAGAATTGACTCAACGGCAATGGGTTTGTTTTTTTTTTTTCAGTCACTGATATAAAAAGATTAAAAATGTGACAAAGCAGGGTTTGAATCCTGGCTCTGGCACTAGCTTGGATAAATTATCTTCTGATTTGCCGTTTTCTCATCCACAGGGCTGTTGGGAGGATTAAATAACATAAAATTATTTATAAAAGTACCTGGTATTCAGTCTCGCACACAGCAAACATGCAATAAATAGCAATCTTTTTCATTATAATTAGCTCATTTTAGTGTACCTTTGTATGAGGAGCAGTACTGTCTCTTGGATCTATTTCTAGTATCAAAGGTGATACTTGGTACATAAGTGACTTTAAACCAAATTATTTCCAAGAGCAATTTTCATACCTCTAGTAGAGGCACTGTACCAAATAAAACATAGTTTTATCTGCTACACAGCAGATGTCCAATAAAATGCCGAACGAAAGACTGTTATATAAAAACTATATTCTTTTTTTAACTGAAATAAAATTCATATAACACAGTTCACCATTTTAATGATTTTAAAGTGTACAGTTAACTGGTTTTTAGTATATTCATAATGCTGTGCAACCATCATCGCTATCTAATTCCAGAAACATTTTCATTACCCCAAACTTAAACCTCATACCATTAAGCAGTCACTCCCCAATCTCCCTACCCCCGAGTCCCTCGCAATCATAATTTGCTTTCTATCTCTATGGATTTGCCTATTCTGGACATGTCATATAAATGGAATCAGACAATATGTAGCCTTTCGTGTCTGGCTTCTTTCACTTAGCATAAAGTTTTCAAGGTTTATCCACACTGTAGCATATATCAGTATTTTATTTGTTTTTATGGCTGAATAATATTCCATTATATGGATATACCATATTTTGTTTATCCATTCATCAGCTGATGGACATTCAGGTCATTTCTACTTTTTGGCTATTACGAATAATGCTTCTTGCTATGAATGTTTGTGTTAAAGTTTTTGTTTGAATAAATGTTTTCAATTCTCTTGGGTATATACCTAGGAGTGAAATTACTGGGTCATAAGGTAATTCTATGTTTACCTTTTTGAGGAACCATCAAGCTGTTTTTCACAGAGGCTGCACCATTTTACATTCTCACCAGCAGTGTATGAGGGTTCCAATTTCTCCACATCCTCACCAACACTTGTAGTTTTCCATTTTTTTAAAAAAAAATTAAAACTATATTCTATCTAAAGTTGAAAAACAGGTAGTGAATCCACACATCCTGCTTTTCTGTTTACTCTCTAGTCCCAAAGCTTCTAAGAAGTTGTGAATCTCAGAAAGGTATTTCCTCTCTTCATGTCTTAAGACTCTCTTCTGTATTATGAGAGTGATAACACTAGTAATCTTGCTATGGATTGAATCGAGTCACTCCAAAACATGCGTTGAAATCCTAACCCTTGTACCTGTAAATATGACCCTATTTGGAATAGCGGTCTTCTTTTGTTATGTTAATGAAGTCATAGCAGAGTAGCGTGGGTCTTAAACCTAATCATGTCTGAGTTGTAAGAAGAGCAGAATAGACACAGAAATACACATAGAGGGAAGACAGACTCCAAGGAATGCCAAGGAACTCCTAGAATTCCTGGGGCTACTGACAAAGAAGGACCTTCCTCTAAAGACGTACCCTAAATTCTGACTTCTAACCTCCTGAACTGTAAGAAAATACATTTCTGTTCTTGAAAGCTCCCACTTGTGGTATTTCGGTTAAGGAAGCACTAGCAAACTAAGACAAATGCCTACCTCAGGTGGCTGCCAGGAGGACTCAGTGTAATAATTTATATAAAGCCTTCATCATACCACATATTCAATAAATGTTTATTTCCTTTTTGTTTCACTTAAGAGTATACCAGGCATTTTATATGCTCATCAAATATACTCTCCTTAGTTAGGTGTCAAGGCAGAGCATCTTACAATAATGAAGTCTGGAAATAAAAGGCTAAATAGATGTACAGTGCGCATTATTTGCCAACTATTCTTTCTTCATATATGATTTATTTTTGCTGTTGGTGTTGACAATATACACAGCAGAACACATACCAATTCAACAACTTCTACATGTATAATTCAGTAACATCGATTTCATTCTTCAAGTTGTACAACCATTCTTATCCTCCTTTTCTGAGTTATTTGCCAACTATTCTTCCTTAAGCATTAGTCAAGGTTCAGTCTTTAGCTGCAGCAGAGGTAATATACCAAACATCCCTCTTGAAATAGCAGGATGTATAGGAAGTCATTATAGTCTCAAATGGATACACTTAGCTAAAAAGACCAAAAGTGACCACATGAGTTCTGCTGGCCAGTCCCGTAGCCCAACACAAACACATGTCAGACAATACCTAAGCTATAGCTTGCAAAAGGCTCAGTTATAAACTTGGGCTGGGTTTTATAGTCACCATATATAGTGGGTTAAATTGTGTACCCCAAAAGAGATATATTCAAGCCCTAACCCCCAGTACCTGTGAATGTGACTTATTTGGAAATAAGGTCCGTGCAGACGTAATTAAGTTAAGATGAAGTCATATTAGGTTAGGGTGGGCCCAAAACTTAATGACTTATAAGGGGATTTATAAGGAGAAAGAGATTTAGAGACAGACACAGACACACACACACAGACTCAGAACAGAGACACAGGGAAGAAGTCCATGTGATGATGAAGGAAGAGATTGAAGTGATGCAGCTGTAAGCCAGCAACCACCATAAACTAGGAAGAAACAAAGAAGGATTCTTCCCTGGAGTCTTCAGAGGGAGCATGGCCCTGCCAACACCAAGATTTTGGACTTCCGGCCTCCAGAACTGTGACAGAATACATTTCTTCCATTTTAAGCCACCCAGTTGGAGGTAATTTGTTGTGGCAGTCCTGGGAATCTAGTACACCATATGACATTTTTGCTTAAAACTGAGCCACTGCACCTAGTTGAGATGTCAGAAGTGTATCTACTTTAGCCTAATGACTAATAAAGACACTATAGACTCTATTTACTTCTTGGTAACCTCAAGCCTTTTCTTCTGTCTGCCTCATTTGTGACTATCTCCTTTCTACCATCTTAAAATCTGGCGCTGGATCGGTACTGTGACTGTCTTAAAGCCTCACTACCACTGAGAAACACAAGGATGCGGGTAGATTATGATGAGAGATCAGGTGTCCACTGGTGAGAACAAGGTGCTGTAGAGGTCAGATCCATGCCACATTTAGAACACCCTCTGTCTTTAGCCAGAATCTCACAAAGGGATCATGGTATACTCAGTACAAGGCTTGGAAAAAAAAGAAAGCATATGCTTTCTTCTCAGACACACGACAATAAGATATAAATCCCAAATGTCTAAAAAAAAAAAGAAAAAACCAGTAAAAGGGGTTGGAAATTACATTAAAACAAGAGGATATGCAAGCTGATATTGAACAGTTATATCAGTGTCTATGTTAAATTAGAAAAGTTATCTTTTCTAGGTTGTTGAAGTATCTCACAATAGGCCGCTTCTCTTTAAAGCACTTGGCACAATTGTAATTAATTACTTGTTAAGCATCTTCCCTTCCAGAGGGCAGAGTCTGAATCTTCTTGCTCAGTGCTGTATCCTCAGGGTCTGCTCAGTGCCTGGCCTAATGCAGGTGCTCAATGAGTGTTGCCAAGTGAATGAATGAATACGTGGAAGAAAGGGAGAACAGGCAGGCTTGTTCCCCTGGTCCAAGGATTCCCGTGCCTTCCTGGGCAGTGACGGGCACAGGGCATACTCACTATCAAAGAGGATGATCCTGCCATCGCCACCACAGGGCTGGGTGTGATCCCCGAAGCAGACGCTGTTACACTCGGTACTGGCTGCCTCCCCATACTTCCAGTAATCAGGGTTGTTTCCACAGAAGCAAGCATAGCCTGACTCCATTCCGGCAAACTGCCACAAGAAAGAAACCGCACATGGTAAGTGTTACCCAGGGGTGTCCGGAAGGGTCAGCCCCCAGCAAGCAGTCAGCCTCATCTTCCCAGGCCACCCTTCTCCTGGGACCCCTCCCTTGTCCCACTCTACCACACTTCATTCCAAGCTGACCATCAACTAAGCACCACTATGTTCCCCCTTCAGTGAGCATCCCTTTGTAATGTTTGCATCTCCACTGTATTTAATAAATTTTAAGGGGAGGGGGGAATCCCAAAAACTTTAAACATGAATAATAACTAAAAATGTTGTAAGGATTTCACTGGCCAATTTTTTTTAGAAGTAGATTGCCAGGTCCTTCTTCCTAGTCTGTCTTAGTCTGGAAGCTCTGTTAAAACCTGTCCACCATGGATGACCCTACTGGTATTTGAAATATCAGTGGCAAAGCTTCCAGCATTGTGGCAACACGCAAGCCACCACGGTACGACAAATTGACAAAAATGTTACTGAATGTTTATTATGTGCCAGGTAGTAAGTGCTTTACATCTAATATTCACAGCAAACTTAAAAAAAATTTTTAACTTATTTATTTTTGTTGTTGAGAATATACACAGCGAAATATACAATAATTCAACAATGTCTACAAGTACAATCCAATGACACTGATTACATCTTCGAGGTGTGCAACCATTCTCACTGTCCTTTTCTGAGTTGTTCCTCCCCCATTAACATAAACTCACTACCCCCTAAATTTCCTATCTAATCTTTTGAGTTGTTGTAATTTGATCTCATATAGATAGATCTTAAAAGAGCACCATGCTCAAGGTGGACATTCTTTACTAAACCAAACCAAAAAACCAAATCTATTGCCGTGGAGTCCATTTCGACTCATAGCAACCCTATAGGACAGAGTAGAACTGCCCCCTAGGGTTTCTAAGGAGCAGCTGGTGGATTCGAACTGCTGATCTTTTGGTTAGCAGTTGAGCTCTTAACCACTACACCACCAGGGCTATATCATACAGTAAAATTGACTTTTTTGGTATACAGTTCAATAATTTTGACACATGTATAGATATGTGCAACTACCCACAATCAGGATACAGAACTGTTCCGTCATTCCCCAAAACTCCCTTATGCTATTCCTTTAGAGCCCCCCTTCCCATAACTGGCAACCACTGATTAGCTTTCCATCACTATAGTTTTACCTTTTTTAGAATGTCATATGAAAGGAATCATACACTATGTAACCTTTTGAGACTGGCTTTCACTCAGCATAATGTCTTTGAGATTCACCTAAGCTGGTGCATGTATCAATAGTTGGCTCCTTTTTATTGCTGAATAGTATTCCATTGTATGGATGTACTACAGTGTGTTCATCCGTTCACCTACTGAAGGACATTTGGGTTGTGTCCAGTTTTTCACAATTATGTATGGATTATATATATGTATTTATATATATATATATATTATATATATTTTTGTGTGTACGTAAGTTTTCATTTTTCTAGGGTACATACCTTGGAATGGGATTGCTGGGTCATATGGTAAGTGTATGTCTGACTTGATAAGAAACTGCCAAACTGTTTTCCAGAGTGACTGTACTACTTTACATTCCCAACAGCAATGTATGAGAGTTCCAGTTGCTTCCATATCCTCGTCAGCACGTTATTTGTCAGTATATTTTCTTTTAGACATTTTAATAGACGTGTTTGATATTTCATCATGACTCTAATTTGCATTATCTTAATGGTTAATTAGAATGACTACTGTTTCATGTGCTTATTTGCCATCCGTAAATCCTCTTTGGTGAAGTACCCAAGTTTTTTGCCCATTTTTAAATTGGGTTGTTTGTTTTCTTACCACTGAATTTTCAATTTTTTTTAATACATTCTTGATACAAGTCCTTTGTTGCAGATGTGATTTCCAAATATTTTCTTTCGGGCTGTAGTTTCTTTTTCATTCTCTTAACAGTGTTTTTCACAGAGCAAAGGTTTTAATTCTGAAGAAGTCTAAATTAAGATTTATAAATTTTTCTTTTTACTGACCATGCTTTTGGTGTCATGTCTAGGAACTCTTTGCCTAAATCCAGGTCGTAGAGATTTTTGCCTATGTCTTCTTCTAAAAGTTTTATAGTTTTACATTTAGATCTATGATTCATTTTGACTTCGGTATGTAGTCTTTTGTGTTTAAACTTCTTTGCTTAGCATAATGTTTTTGGGATTCATCCATGTTGTTGCACATATCAATATGCCTTAATGTATTTTCTTTCTATTGCTGAGTAATATTCCACAGTACAGATATACACAATTTATTTATCCATTCATCAGTTAATGGACGTTTGGGTGATTTTTAGTTTGGGGCTATTATGAATAATGCTGCTATGAACATTCATGGATAGGTCTTTGTGTGAACGTAAGTTTTCATTTCACTTGGGTAAGATATCTAGGTGTGGTATCGCTGAGTTGTAAGGTACACTTGTATATTTAACTTCATATGAAACTGCAAGACCTTTCTCCAAAGAGGCTATACCATTTTACATTGCTATCACCAGTCTGGAGCCCTGGTGGTGCAGTGGTTAAGAGCTTGGCTGCTAACCAAAAGGTCGGCAGTTCGAATCCACCAGCCACTCCTTAGAAACCTTATGGGGCAGTTCTACTCTGTCCTATAGGGTCGCTATGAGTTGGAATCAACTCAATGGCAACAGGTTTGGTTTTTGGTATCACCAGTCTATGAAGTTCCTGGATCGTGCGAACAGTTAAGTGTTCAGCTACTAACCCACCCAGTTAGCAGTTCAAGCCCACCCAGAAGCACTTCAAAAGAAAAGCCTGGCATTTACTTCTGAAAGATCACAGCCATTGAAAACCCTATGGAGCACAGTTCTGCTCTGAAACACATGGGGTCACCATGAGTTGTAATCAACTCAAAGTCAACTGTTTTTTTTTTTTTTTTTTAAATCACCAGTCTATGAGCGTTCCAGCTGCGAAACATCATCAACAATTATTGGTATGGTTAGTATTTTTAACTTCAGTCATTCTAGTTGATATGTAGTAGTATCTTAATGTGCTTCTAAGTTGTATTTCCCTGAGAACTAGTGTCTTAGTTATCTAGTGCTGCTACATAACAGAAATATCACAAGTGGGTGGCTTTAACAAACAAATTTGTTTTCTCACAGTTAGGAGGCTAGAGGTCTATTAAGATCTTGACTACTAACCGAAAGGCTGGAGGTTCGAACCCACCCAGAGATGGCTCAGAAGAAAGGCTTGACAATCTGCTTTGGAAAGGTTAACAGCCTTGAAAACCCCATAAAGTAGTTCTACTCTGCACACATGGGGTCATCATGAGTTGGAATTGACTCAATGGCAACTGGTAACTGGTAGTATATAGAAATGAACCTGCAACCTTGCTAAATATACTTATTAGTTCTAGTATCTTCTTTGTAGATTCCTTAGGATTGTCTTCATACGAGATTGTGTTTTGGTATCATAACTAAGAAACCATTGCCTGATCCCAGGTCACATGGATTTATATTTATGTTTTCTTCTAAGAGTTTTATAGTTTTACCTTTTAAGTCTTTGATCCACTTTGAGTTAATATTTGTATATGCGAATATACACATGTACATGGCATGAGGTAGGCAAAGGACCTAGAATGGCCAAAACAAAGTTTTACTTCTTCCTTTCCAATCTACGTGCCTTTTATTCCTTTTTCTTACCTTACTTCTTTGGAAGTTCTCCAGTACATTGTTGAATAGAAGTGGTGAGAGTGGGCATCCTTGTCCGTTCTTTATCTTAGAAAGAGAGCACTGAGCCTTTCACTGTTGAGTATGATGTTAGCTGTAGGTTTTCCATAGATGCTCTTAATCAGGCTAAGAAAGTTCCTTTCTAATCCTAGTTTTCCAAGGACTTATATCATAAATGGGTATGGTATTTTCTCAAATGCTTTTTCTGCATTTTTATTTTGAAAAATACCAAACATACAATAAAGTTGCAAGAACAGTGCAAAGAACTGACCTATCCCCTTTACCCAGAGACCCCATTCAAATTGGCAACTGTCTTAATAATGTCCTCCATAGAAAAAGGATCCAATCTAGGATCATACATGTACTTAATTGTCAGGTCGCTTCAGTCTCCTTCAATCTGGAATAGTTCTTCAGTCCTTTCTTGGCCTTTATAACCTTAACATTTTTGAAGAGTAAAGGCCAGTCACTTTGCAGAATCTCCCTCATTTTGGGTTTGCTTGATGTTTCCTTGTGCTTAGATTCAGATTATGCACTTTTGGCAGAAGTATCACCGAAGTGATGACATGTATCCCATCAGGTGGCATATAATGTCTATTTGTCCTATCACTGGTGATATATTACCTTTGATCACTTGAGGAAGATAGCATATGCCAATTTTCTTCACTATGAAATTATTTGTTTTCCCTTTATAATTGATAAGTATTTTATGGGAAGATCTTTGACGCTATGTAAATATCCTATTCCTCATGTAACCTTTACCCACTAGTGGATGCAAACTGGGATATCCACATACTCATTAATATTTGTTCCCTGAATCAATTATTACTATGAGACTTGCCAAATGGTGATTTTCTGATTCCAGAATTTCTTCTACATTTATTAGATGGCATTCTACTGCAAGGAAAAGCTTTCTCTTTTCCACATTTATTTATTTATATTTGTTGTTAGGTGCCATCGAGTTGGTTCCGACTCACAGCGACCCTACGTACAACAAAACAAAACACTGCCCAGTTCTGTGTCATCCTCACAATCATTGCTATGTTTGAGCCCATTGTTGCAGCCACTGTGTCAATCCATTTCATTGAGGGTCTTCCTCTTTTTCACTGCCTTCTACTTTACCAGGCATGATGTCCTTCTCCAGGGACTGATCCCTCCTGATAACATGTCCAAGTACATAAGATGCCATCCTCACTTCTAAGGAGCATTCTGGCTATACTTCTTCCAAGACAGATTTGTTGTAATTCTTTTGGTAGTCCATGGTATATTCAGTATTCTTTGCCAACACCATAATTCAAAGCTATCAGTTCTTTGGTCTTCCATATTCATCGTCCAGCTTTCACATGCATATGAGGCAATCGAAAATACCATGGCTGGGGTTAGGCGCACCTCAGTCCTTCAAGTGACATCTTTGCTTTTTATTTATATTAGCATGGATTTATGGATTCTCATTTTAATAAGTGAGGTATAATTCACTACTATCAGTTTGCTCTGAAGCACAAATTATCCCAGATTTGGCCATTGGGAACCCCTTCAAGTCGGCTCTTATGTCCCATTGACATGTCCCTATCATTCTTTGAGCACTTCCTTACTTTCTTATTTCTTGCACAAGATGTTTCAGGCACCTCTTACACTTTTCCAGTCCCAGCCTTAGAATCAGCCATTTTCTCCAAACAGCCTTACTTCTTTTTACTGGAGAACAGTATTTAGAAACCAAGACCTGGGTGCTAGGTGTGCTCATTGGCGTGTCGCTGCTCCCAGGCCCCGTCAGTGGACACAGCTAAGAGATATATATGTGTATATATACATACACACAAACACTTTTACATTCATATCTATCACCATGCACTTATACTAATAACTTCAATCCCTATCCCACATTGCAGGCTTCATGTCAGCTTTCCCCTGCTTCCATATTTGTAACTGTCTTCTCCAACATGAGAAACTTAGCTTCCATTAGCCTCAATATATTTACTTATATGCGCAATCCCTTTGCATGCAACCAACCACTTGACCATGTTGGGCTACCTTTCTCGCTTAGCCACCTCCTTCCCATAGGCTCTGAACACTGCCAGGCTACCCTCCTTGCTTAGGTCTGCTTAACAGCTTTTTAACTGAAGAAAGGAGGGAGGGAAGGAGGGAGGGAAGGAGGGAGGGAGGGAAAAAGGGAGAGAGGGAAGGAAGGAGGAAAGGAGGGAAGGGAGGGAGGGAGGGAGGAAGGGAGAGAAGAAGGAAAGGGAAGGAAAGAAGGAGGGGAAGGAAGGAAGAGAAGGGAAGGAAGGAAGAAGGGAGGGAAGGAAAGGAAGAAAGGAAGGAAGAGAAGGAAAGAAGGAGGGAAAGAAAGGAGGAAGGAAGGAAAAAGGAAGAAAGAAAGGAACAAGGAAGGAGAAAAAGGAGAAAAAAAGGTTCTTTTCTTCTTTTTTTTTTTCATATAACAAATAATAGCATTATTGAATCTCAATGACCAAGGAATGAAATTTCAGATAGAGGAATGGACAGGAGAAAAAGAAAATATTTTGGATTGGTGTCCAGACTAGGGCCCCTTAGTCTATTAAGGAAGTAACCATTGCTTGACTTTCCCCAGATTCTCTGTTGATCCATAGAAGCACCTACTCATAACATACAAGGACACAAGGAAATGTATAACTCTGTTGGAGGCCAGGTGGGGATGCAGATGTTGGGGATTTTTCCTCCTCTTTTCTCCCAGTCTTTAAATAAGAGTGCTGCCTCACGCTCCTGAATCTCAAGCCCCACTCTTCCTTCAACTTCTCCGTGGAAGAAGAAAAGGAGAGTGGTATGGCTTGACAGGTTGTTGTTGTTTATATATATTTTTACGCTATCTCAGCAGAATACATTCATGTGTTTATCTTGTTCTTTACTTATTAATAACCACTAAACAGGCACAGCCACAGAGCCATTACCTTGAACCTCTGACTCCGACAAAAGCTGATGCAGGTTTGTATGGTAAGTTTGTTAGATGTTTTACTGGTGCCAGTTAGAGGTGGTGGGTTTCCATGATCCTTGTAGCAGCCAAGGTTTCCAGGCACTGGAGAAAAAAGAACAAAAGAATTTCACAACACCTGGATGTGAAACGCCAAGAGGGAAAGTTCTTTGTGCCAGGTAGTTTCATCCCAGACAATATTTCCACTCTTGAAGTACAAATAACAAGCAACAAGTTTTCAACATGGAAGCTTTCGTGTCTTCTACCAGCTGTCATGTTTTTGTTTTATTTTGAAGAGTATGTGAGACACAGGTTCACCTTTAACTAACCCTAAGAAATTCTGTAACTGTTCAATATTGATAGGATTTAATATTGAAGGGAAATAGGAACAGTTCTCTAAAATATCTCTAAAAATAGAGAAGTTACAATGTAATGGTAAATTATATTCCAGAATCACTGGAGGGCAGGAAAAGCCCTTGGCAGCCCATCATCCCATGCCTTCTAACTAAACTCCTCTTTCCTTAGACGGCTCCACAAGAGGGTTTCTCCCAAGGTCTTCTGGTGAGTGTATTAATTTCCTATTGCTCTTGTAACAAATTACTACAAACTTTGTGGCTTAAAACAACATAAGTTTATTATCTTACAGTTCTAGAAGTCAGAAGTCCTAAATGGGTCCTATGGAGCTAAAATCAAGGTGTCGGCAGAGCTACATTCCTTCTGGATGCTCTAGTGGAGCATCTGTTCTTTGCTTTTTCCAGATCCTAGAGACTGCCCACATTCCTTGGTTGATGGCCACTTCATTCCGTCCTCTGCTTCCATAGTCATATCTCCTTCTCTCCCTCTGCTTCTGTAGTCACATCGCCTTCTCTGACTCTGACCCTCTTGCTTCTCTCTTATAAAGACCCTTGTGATTACACTGGGTCCACCTGGATAATCCAGGATCATCTCTCCATCTCAAGATCCTTAACTTAATTACATCTGCAATGTCTTTTTTGTCATGTAAGGTAATATATTCACATGTTCTGGAGATTAAGATATGGACATCTTTGGGAGGCCATTATTCAGCTTACCACAGTGAGCATACTAGTGTTTCACAACCACACAATGAGATGGTTTGGTCTAGTAGAAAAAGCCTTATCTGAGAATAAAGAAACCTGAATGTATGTACCAATTGTGGCAGATGGCTTTCAAAGATGGCCCTCAATGATCCCCACCTCTGGTATTCACATCTGTCTTAGTCATCTAGTGCTGCTACAACAGAAATACTACAAGTGGATAGCTTTAACAAACAGAAATTTATTCTCTCACAGTCTAGGAGGCTAGAAGTCTAAATTCAGGGTGCCAGCTCCAGGGGAAGGCTTTCTTTCTCTGTCAGCTCTGGGGAAGGTCCTTGTCATCAATCTTCCCTGGTCGAGGAGCTTCTCAGCGCAGGGACTCCAGGTCCAAAGGATCCGCTATTCTCTTAGCTCCTCTACCTTGGTGGTATGAGGTTCCTCTACCTCTCTGCTCACTTCTGTCTTTTATATCTCAAAAGAGATTGATTTAAGACAAAACCTCATCTTGTGGATTGAGTCCTGCCTCATTAACATAACTACATCTAATCCTGCCTCATTAACATCATAGAGGTAGAATTTACAACATAGGAAAATCACATCAGATGACAAAACGGTGGATAATCACACAATACCAAGAATCATTGTCTAGATAAGCTGACACATATTTTTGGCGGACACAATTCAATCCATGACAATGCCCATGTGTAATGCTCTCCCCTTTGAGTGCAGCCTGGTCTGGTTACTTGTTTCTGACTAATAGAGTGTGGCAAACAAAGTTAATGGGGTATTACTTCCATGATTAGGTCACAAGAGAATGTGACTTCTGTCTTGTTAGCAGACTCTTTCCATTTCTTTCTCAGCTTGTATACTTTGATGAAGCAATAAGTCATGTTGGAGAGACCACGTGGCAAGGAACTGAAGATGGCCTCCAGCCAACAGCTAGCAAGAAACTGAGACTCTGAGTCCAACAGTCCACAAGGAACTGAATCCCACCAACAATGACATGAGCTTGGAAACAGATCTTTCCCAAGTCAAGCCTTCAGATGTGATCCCAGCCCTGGCTGACATCTTGACTGCAGGCTTGTGAGAAATCCTGAAGCAGGGACTCAGTTAAGTTGTGCCCAGATTCCTGGCCTACAGTAAGTGTGAGACTATAAATATGTGTTTTTTTAAGCCAATAAATTTTGGAGTAATTTGTCATGCAGTAGTAGATAACTAAGACACCTATACATACCAAATATATGTTTATTGAATGAAAGAATGGATTTGTTGTGGGCAATGAGCAAATTAACCTCCTTGGACCTTAGTTTTCCATCTGTGTTATCAATTTATGAATCACTGAATCTCTGTTTGCCTCCTCAGTTTATATAACTGAAGCTATAACAAGACATGAATGCAACCTGGTCCTGGAAGCACTTCTAGGTCAGTTAAGAGTTATATATTACCCAATTCCAAAGTGACAGCCATATCAACTCTTAGATGGCATTTCCCCTTTATGTTTGAGACTGGAAAACAGCATGGTCCAGTTTAATAAGTTTATATCCACACTGTGATGCTGGAAGCTATATCACGGATATTTCAAAAACCAGCAGGTTCATCCATGGTGGACAGGTTTCAGCAGAACTTCCATACCAAGGCAGACTAGGAAGAAAGGTCTGGAGATCTACTTCAAAAAATTAGGCAAAGAGTATAGGTATAGAACCTTCTAATGGAGAGGAAGTCAAGTGATACAAAGTAATAATAGACTGGTTCAAATCTAGGAAGATCAGGGCAAATTTCATGGTAACCACAAAGAAAGTTAACAAACCTACTCATCAAAATGAAGAAAAACAAAGTCTCTGTAAAAACAAAACCTACAAAAACAAAAGAAAAAAAATCCACAAACAAAAGGAACTCAGCACAGGAGAGTAAGAGGAACAAAACTGGAGGACATTATGCTGAGTGAAATAAGTCAATCACAGAAGGACAAATATCGTATGAGACCTCTACTGTATAACTCATATAAAAGGTTACACACAAAAAAGAAACAATCTTTGCTGGTTACAAGGGATGGGAGGAGTTGGGGGGGGAACTAAATAGATAAGCGGTAACTTTGGTGAAGGGTAAGACAGTACACATTACTGGGGAAGCCAGCACAACTTGTACAAGGAAAGATCATGGAAGCTCCATAGACACATCCAAACTCCCTGAGGGACTGAATTGCTGGGCGGAGGGCTGTGGGGACCATGATCTTGGGGAACATCTAGCTCAATTGGCATAATACAGTTTATAAAGACAATCTTCTACATTCTACCTTGGTGAGTAGCGTCAGGGGTCTTAAAAGCCTGTAAGCAGCCATCTAAGATACTCCACTGGTCTCACCCCTTTGGGAGCAAGGGAGAAGGAAGAGAACAAGATACAAAGAAAAGATTAGTCCAAAGGACTAATGGACCACAGCTACCACGGCCTCCACCAGACTGAGTCCAGTATAGCTAGATGGTGCCCGGCTACCACCGACTGCTCTGACCGGGATCACAATAGAAGGTCCTGGCCAGAGCTGGAACCCACAAAAAACACCAGATTTACAGGCCCGACTGACTGGAGAAACCCTGAGAGTATGGCCCCCGGACACCCTTTTAGCTCAGTGGTGAAGCCCCTCCCGATGCTCACTGTTCAGCTGCGGATTGGACAGCCTCATAAAACACAACAGGACTAATGAGGCACAGCAGT